GTTATCCCTTCTGCAATGTGCTTCAATTTTGCGCATTAACCTATATATCAACCTTGTTGCATACCTTCTGGAAATCCAGGTATGGTAAGTCTACAGACATCCCTTGTCCAAAGAGCATGTTACTTCTTCAAAGAACTCCAAATGATTGGTGAAATGTGATCTCCCTTTCACAAAAACCACGCTGACCCTTCCCAACTATCATGATTTTTCCAAATACCCAGTTATAACCTCTTTAATAATCAATTCTAACACTTTCCCCACGATAGCCATCAAGCTAAACTCCTAAGAGATAGCAAGAACTGCAGATGCTGGAGTCAGAGATAACACAGTGTGGCGCTGAAGGAAACACAGCAGGCCAGGCAGCAGAGGAGCAGGAAAGTCCCGCCCCAAAAGGACAACTTTCCTGCCCAGCCTGCTGTTTTGCCTCCAGCTCCAAGCTAAATTCCTGCCTTCATTCCTTCTTGAATAAGAGAGGTTTAATTTGCCAAGTTCCAGTTTCAAGGAAGGTTCCACAATCTAGGGAACTTCAGAAGATTAAATTAATTCCTCTATACCTCATTAGGAACCTCTATTGAAATCCCAGGATGAAGTCCATCAGGACCCAATGACATGTCAGCCTGCAGCTCTATCAGTTTGTCCTTCCCTGGCGAATATAATTTCACCAAGTTCCTCTCTTCCTTCCACCTCCTAATTTACAGTTGTAACTGGGATGTTTTTGCATTCTTTGCAGTGAAAAATATGTTCATTTCATTCACAATATCCTTATTATCCACCGTTAACTACCCATTCTTATTCTCCAGTGGCCCAACATTCATTCATGCTGAACTCTGAAATCTCTAAGAAATCATTTCTTTAAATATGGAACATTTTTGCTGTAACATGATTCAAATATAGCATCCCTTTTTCTAGAGAATGTATTTGCACCAATGACCAAATAAGTAATTAATTTTCTCCCTCACTCTGCCCAATTTTTGGGAGCAGTGAAAATAAAGCAAGCATGATTTTTGCTCCAAATTTCTCACAGCTCAGTCTCTTCTCCTGACCAACTAAACAGAAAGGCAAAAAACATAAGGCATGCATGGACTACTAATGCCACACATTTTAAACAATGGATTCTTTGATTTGGACCTGGCTGCTTCTCAGACATTCAGTGAAAATTATATCAATGCCTAGGTTATCTAGCTTTAAATGGAGAAGAAGCCATTGACCAAATTGCACTAAACATTTACATATTTCTTTTAAATTTCAAAAGTTCGATTGCACGCTTTGCATTATTTGGCATTTTCACCCATGGTGGTTTCAACCAAATTCCTGATCTGGTTTCCTCTTAAAGATTAGGAGAGAATTAAAATGTAAGACCCAGGAAGGATTCCAAGACAGAAAGATATAAAGACTGTTCTTTCAATCACATAGTGAAGATGATATTGAGAATGATTGGTTCTGACTGAATTAAAGTTAATGGCATTAACTTTCACTGAGGCATATAGCAGAATGGTCATGAACCTCAGTGGTAGGGGAAGGGGGATGGTGGTGGTGGAAGGAATTGTTTTTGGCATAGAATGTTGAAAGGTGACCTTATAGAGGTTTATAAAATCGTGTGGGGCATTGATAAGGTGAATAGCAAAGGTCTTTTCCATTGGGTGGGTGAGTTCAAAACTTGAGGGCATTTTTCTTTTAAGGTGAGAGGAGAAAGATTTAACAAGGGTCTTGAGGGACAACATTTTCCAGGAGAAGGTGGTTCACGTGTGGAATGAACTGCCAGAGGAAGTGGTAAATACAGATACTGTTACAACGTTTAAAAGATATCTGGATAGGTACATGAATAGGAAAGGTTTAGGTGGATATGAGCCAAACGCAGGCAACTGGGACTAGTTTAGTTTGGGAAACTTGATTGGCATGGATGATTTGGACTGATGGGTCCATTTCCATACTGTATGACTCTATGACACGATGTGGGGTTACTTAACAAGTGTGGAGATGTGTTTGGTGGACAATTGACAACTGCAGGTGGAACTATTTAAGTGTTGGTCTGATCCATTAAGGGTTCTTGTGACATAGTGGTAATGACCCTACCTCTGAGCCAGGAGGCCTTAATTGCCAAAGTTGTTGGTCTTACATTTAGCATCCAGCAACATTTGGGGTAGGGAGGTGAATAGGGGACACTGTAGGGATTGCGAGCCCACAGGTGTGTGCCCTCTACACTGTACGGACCTGTGTTTAACGTTACTGCCTTTCAAAGGGCCTCACGTCACTGGGATTTGCAGCTGCATTCCCCACACGGTCAGCCACTTACTCTGCCCAGTCTGGGTGTGGTTGCAGCCATTTTCTTTGCCTTTACATGGTTGGAATTTTTCAAGACGATGGTAGGCGAAGGCAAGTGGCTAACCACTGAGCGGCACAGTGGCTCAGTAGTTAACACTGCTGCCTCACAGCACCAGGGACCTGGGTTCAATTCCACCCTCGGGAGACTGTCTGTGTGGAGTTTGCACATTCTCCCTGTGTCTGCATGGGTTTCCTCCAAGTGCTCCGGTTTCCTGCCACAGGCCAAAGATGCACAGATGAGGTGGATTGGCCATGCTAAATTGCCCATAGTGTTCAGGGTAGGTTAGCCACAGGGAATGCAGGGTTATAGAGATAGGTTTGGGGGATGGGTCTGGGTGGGATGCTCTTTGGAGGCATGGCCAGTGTTGGGCTGAATGTTTCCACACTGTAGGGGTTCTACGGAGTGCCCCTCAGACAGTACACCAACATCCGCACATCTTTCTGGTAGCCCTTCCCATCAACGCTATAGGCTTCACATCTCCCCCCTACATAATCCATTTACATCAGCCTGCAGCTGCCCACCCTTCCCCCCTACCCCTAGCCCCTCACATTTGAGGTGGCCGTGCTAGGTGTGGTCATACACTGTTCCCCTCCAGAAGTTATGTGATCCTTATTGTGGATAAAGTCCACCACAAGCTATCGCTAACATTTTCCTACCCATGGTTTGCTGATCCCCCCTTACATATGCAGTTGCCCCCTCTCCCCTGCTTCACAATTGTCACGCTCCCTGCCACCTAGCCTGCAGCCCCCAATCCCACAAGGCTCCTTCATGCAATAGCAGACCCCTTTACCCTGCCATTCCATCCACCCTTACCTATTGGACAGACCCAATGGATTGACTGTGACCCATCATCCAGAGCAACCTAACCACAGAGCCTCAGGTGGAAAGTTCCCATACCACTGACTGATGTCTGTTCATCACATCAACTGTATAAGCAATAGCCTCCGGACTGGGCACAATGGATCCACAAGGCTGCCTGTGACCCATTCTCTGGACTGCAGAGGTACAGACTGCCTGACTGAACATCCCAACTACACGCCTGACAAGGCAAACACCACCCCCCGAGACTGATTTCAGAAGCTGCCCTGGGCTTCCCGTGCCAGGGTCCCCTCCCGACTGAGGGCTTCCTTGATGCACTTCCTAGGCACCATTCCCCTTAGACATGGTCATTTGCTTGCTGCACAGGCAGCGTGTTTGCCATGTAAGCTCCTAGCACATCGTGCATGTTTGAGGCGATATTGGAGAAAGTATCATGTACAGGTGTGAATAAAAGGAGCATTACAGCACATCAGGAGTTGAAAAGCCTTACTTAGGAAAAGGCACAAGCAGCCCCAGGTACAGCATATGTGCAGACACCCATAGCCTGAGATACTTCAGACCAGTATCTCAAAGTGCAGATAACAATTTGGCTTAAAATACAGGATAAAGCATATTCCTCAGCCTAACTACTCTTGCCAGCCATCAAGATGCTGAAAAATTGGGTTAATTTCCATTGGTAAATTGTTGAAAGGTAGAGGATATATTATTTCTTTTAATCTGGCATTTACAAACCTCACAGTGCATCCCACCCATTGCCCAAGATACGCTACTATTTTCTCAACCACACCAAACACAATTACTCCAAAACTAAAGTTATGTTTTAATGAATTAATTACATTGAAATTATAAGAATGAAACAGAGCACTTAAAACAACTAGCCAGTGACACAAACAGTAGCCCCTAACTGAGCATTCTGAGAAAGGGTCATTGGACCCGAAGCATTAACTCGGATTTCTTTCTTCGCAGATGCTGCCAAACCTGCTGGGCTTTTCCATCAACTTCTGTCTTAGCCCCTAACCTAACCTGCCTCCCCTATTTTCATCTTCCTATCTAACCTTTCTTTGAAACCACCTATCTAAATTGTTTTTTTAAATGTTTGATGGTCTTTGTTTCAATCGCAACACCGGTCATGAATTCCTCAGGTACATCACTACGTAAAAAGGTCTTTCTGCTCTGTGCATGCACTGCAACCACAAAAATGTGGCCCAATACTTTAACATGGAGACATTTTAAGAAAACACTGGTCTGATATATGCTTGTTTCTAAGTGATCCTTCCCATCCCTACAGCACGCTATTTTGTTATTCTGAAAACTGAAAGATGTGCTAAAACTATAAGTAACCCAAAAGAAAGTCTGCAAAACAACGGTGTCCATTTTTCTGACCTACTGTACCAAAGTATACCACTTAATCTGTAATTAATAAACTAGCTTTGCACTTCGTGTGAGGAACATATTTACCCAAGATGTTATATCTGCTAAATTACCCATCTTCCAAAACAAGCTGATGCAGCAGTTGGTGTAATAAACTGCATGTAAAGCAAAGAAAAACATTTACTCAAACGTCAGCCATTGATGTGATTGCAAACACTAATAATCAGATGGTCATAGCACTGCTTCTCCAGAAGTTAACACCTCAGTGTTGTATTGCAGGGTAGAAAACAGTAGAAAAAGTTGACTAAAATACATTTTTTTAAAAAATGGATTGATATATACTTATACATTTATAAGTTATTACAAATCATTAGTACTTACATTTGGTGTTAGTAACCATTGATGTACTAAACTTTAGAGCTGCAAACTGAGAATAAATATAAGTTCAGATGGTATATAACCTGAACCATGGAATATAGAAGCTCACCATATAGAAGGAGACCATTCAGCCCATCACGCTTGTCTCCTGCGAAGTGCCAGTGAGCAGCAGCTGCTTTAACTCTTTGACTGAATTCTCAGTAACAGAACTGACAAAGCCAGCTGGATCAAAGATGAAATGTGAATCTGTCAAATTAAAAAATATAGCAACAAATATAATGGGAACATCCGGCAAATAAAATCTACTTTATCTTGACTGAAATGGTCGATAATTAGAATCTTTCAAGTCCTTACCCACATCTACAAGACACTGTTGTTCCCTACAGCAGAAAAGGCCAAATTTCAGATAATGCAAATCACTATCAGCCTTTTAAAGAACTGTTTTGCTAAAACTGAACTTTGTACATACACAAAAAATGCATCATGAGGTTACCAAACCAAACGTTAGTTATAAATCAAATCTCACAATGGGTCATTCACCTTTAAAGTCACCATGACAATGGAGAAATAGCTCAAGAAAACGTGAGCAGGTTGTTACTTGTGCGAAGATAGAGGGATCTGATTCTTCATTTCATCAGATTCAAAAGCTTCAGTTCTATAAAATGGAGGCATATATCATGCAAGATTTCTTTGCAGATTTTTACATTTCAAAACATCTGATCTTATAGAATTCCTACAGTGCAGAAGCAGGCCATTCGGCCCATCGATCCACACCTACCCTCCAAAGAGCATCTCACCTACCCCCTCCCTATCCCTGTAATCCTGCATTTCCAATGGCTAATCCACCTAGATTGCACATCCCTGGACACCACAGACAAATTAGCATGGTCAATCCACCTAACCTGCACATCTTTGGACTGTGGGAGGAAACCGGAGCACCCGGACGAAACCCACACAGACACAGGGAGAATGTGCAAACTCCAGACAGAGTCACCTGAGGCTGAAATCGAACTCGGGTCCCTGGCGCTGTGAGGCAGGAGCGCTAACCACTGAGCCACCATACTGCCTAATCTGTGTCAGATTGCTGTAGAGAGCAATTCCAAATCAGGCAATTTCTATGAATGAATTTGAACACAGAGCACTTGAGGAAACATTTACACATCATCTTCTGCATTGCTGCAAAGCAGTTTCAGCCACAACTGTTGAAAATAGCGGGCTGGATTTTCTGAAGAGTAGCAATTAAGATGCGACAATCTCACACAGATTGCCACTTTAGCCCACCCTTTTTTGGTGAAAGAAGGGAGCTCCACATTTCTGACAGGACATTCTGCTCAGGACCCCTTCAGAAATGCAGAGCCATACTTCCATTCTGTCAGTTATTTTATAGAGCAGAATGGTCACAGAGGGACAAACCACATCCTTTTTCACAGCGGTCAGCTGCTGTGAAATGGTAACTACATGAGTTAGTTGTGATGCTAGGGTATTCGGATGGTCGGGTGGCACATGGGTAGGATGCCAGTTTAATAGTGTACCAGGTGGGCATATTTATATCTATATATTTAACAGCATAACTTATCCTGATTAACAATTTTACTTAATTTCAAAAGGAACCCTCCAAACTGGCCAATTTAAATGAAGACTTTTAGAGGGTTCCTGGGTAATTCCTTCAGAATCTGCAATGATAGGAATTCCACGGAGTCCAAATATGTATCTTACATCTACACTGGAATAACAACTATCTGGCCAGCAGAAAATCCAAGCTCATGTGGCCAAATGTTCAACAGGAGATCACTGTAATCTCCTGGACATGCCTATGAAATTCCTAAACACCTGCTGGTTTCAGGCTATTACTGGGGATCTGTATACACATGGCACCCTGCCCCGTGAGGCCCAAAGGGCAAACACAGCTTGCACAAAACAAGATCCCACCAACAAATGGGAAGAACTGTTAGTTAATGAATAAAAAGACAAGTACTTTCCAGGAAACCAGGAGATATTCCTAAATCTCAAGATTAAATATTATGAGTCTTTCATTTTCACTTGAAAAGGCAGAAGGGGCCTAAGATAGCCATAGAGTCATAGTCATACAGCAGGAAACAGACCCTTTGGTCCAACCAGTGCAGGCGAAACATAATCCCAAACTAAACTAGTCCCACCTGCCTGCTCCTGGTCCATATCCCTCTGAACCTTTCCTACTCATGTACTTATCTAAGTGTCTTTTAAACATTGTAACTGTGCCTGCATCCACCACATCCTCAGGGCGTTCATTCCACATGTGAACCACCCTCTGTGGTAAAAACGTTACCCCACATGTCTATTTTAAAATCTCTCTCCTCTCACCTTAAAATATGTTCCCTAGTCTTGAAATCCCCCATCCTACGGAGAAGACACTTACCATTAACCCTATCTATGCCCCTCATGATTTTATAAACCTCTATAAAGGTTACTCCTCAACCTCCTACGCTCCAGTGAAAAATGTCCCAGCCTATCCAGCCTTTCTTTATAACTTGAACCTCCCATGCCAGGCAACATCCTGGTAAATCTCTTATAATTCGTCTCTAGCTTAATAATATCATTCCTATAACCGGGCAACCGGAACTGGACCTTGGGACATTGAACTGAAATTCAGCCTAGGTTCTATCTTCTGGTCCTGAAGTGGGGCTTAGCAAACTCAGACTCAAAGGTATGTGTGCTACCACTGAGTCAAGCCAAAGTACACTGTATGCCTGCGTGAGCTTCCCCACTCCACTTGCCAGCCTCATGCAACAAAATATTTGAACATTTGAAAAAGTCTGCAAAATGGTTATGCTATCATCCATGGTTCAAATTCCACCTTTCAACGTAATCAGTTATTGAACTTAGGACTTTTGTGATTTGGTTCCGCCACTCATTGTATGGCTTTTGCAATGTGGATCTTGGCTGACATTTTAAACAGGATGTACAATTACAAGGAAAGCTTCAAAATTATCAGGTCATATTAATAAATCCTGTTTATCCATAACACTAATGTTCTATATGAGCACCAACTCAGAGGAAACAATTTTCATCATTTTACAATCTCCAGACAAAAGGCAAGTCTATAAAATTATCGATGCCGGATTTACAAATGCTGTAGTGCATTGAAATATTAAAATAATCACAATAATTGCATATCGACTTACAAGTTTTCCTGGTTAGAGTCAGCACATCTCTGTAGGTGTGAATATTAGCACAGATTTGGCCACTATGGCAATTGCCGACTTACACTATAAAGTGTAGCGATCTAGACAGTAGCTAGACAGAAAAAGACTAGGGTCCAGTTAGCTCATCTCTGGTGATTCCGGTAGCCATGTGACACAATGATAATAGTTTTGAGCAATGTTTTAAAATGGAAAAGAAAGTATCTTTTTAGCTACAATTGTAGTGCTGCCAGATTATCTATGCCATGACATTAAAACCTAAGAGGCAACCAATATTTTTAAAAAAGTGAGATGTCAGCAAAATCACAACCACATTTGTCTTTTGGAGTGATGATCATAAAAATGATAGTCCATTAATTAATGAGGCTTGACAAGAGGGAAGTAGTGCAAAAAATTCCAGGAATCCGCATAATGCCCTAATTGATGCTGAAAGTCACCTAATCTATACTGTCCTCTTTAAGTGCTTCAAGGGTTTTGATGACATAAACTCATCATCATAATGGAACAAATCTCCCAGAAAATCAGGATAATCCTTCCAGCTTTCAAAACATCACAAAATTATAATGGTGCAGAAGAAAGTAATTCAGCCCATCAGGTCTGCACCAGCTCTCCCAATGAGCATCACTCCTTCCTCATTACTGTGGCACGTTATTTCTTTTTAAACATCTAATAGCCCCCACCCTGACCACTTGAATGCCTCAATTAAGCCTGCCATACTTCCACCACCATTCCAGGCAGCACATTTCAGACCTGAGCCATTCTTTTGTTCAAATCTGTGCCTTCTTTGATCCTTTTATAAGCAAGAACGGTATCTGTCCAGAACCCTCATGATTTTGAAAATTTCAATCAAATCTCCTCTTAGCCTTCTCCTGTCCGAGGAAAAATAGCCCCAACTTCTCCAATCCATTTTCAAAACTCAAGTTTCTCATCGCTGGAACCATTCTCGTAACCTCTTCTGCACTCATCCCAATATATTCTCATTCTTCCTAAAGTGTCGCACTCAGAACTGTTTCTAACACCAATATTCATATGGTAATTAAGCAGCAAAAAAACTTTCAGAGATCTTTTGGCATCTCCAGCATTTGCTTTAAACTGGCTATATCTATCCTATGTCTTTTGTTCACTTACCCTTTTTATAGAACATACATTATTCTACAAAGACAGATTATCTATGTAACATGCAATTGGTATTGGTCTTTTAGTCCATTTTACATCAAACATTTACTCCAAGATCTCAAATAGAATGCCATCAATAACAGCCCAAGTTTCCACGGCTAACGTTCTCTTCATTATTCTCATTTTCTTTGCCTCTACAGCCAAATTGCAATTTTTCCATTTTCTCCTATAGGAATATTACAAATTGTCCTCCACCAGAAAATCCAAATTCCTAATTACCAATGCTTAATGTGAGTGTTGATTTGTTTTACGATTGCAACCATAGCTTTTCAGTTCACCAACTTGTGTTTTCATCAAACAAAGCTCCTTCCTAGATCAAATAGCTAACAAATCCTTTTCATATCCCAGCTAATATTTCGATCATCTTCAGGGAACAAAAGGGAGGGGAAGAATAACATACCTTTTCATTGGCACATGAAGATAAAAAGACTTGCATTTATTTGGCAGTGTTTATAACATTTGTCCTCAGTGCATTTCAAACTGCTTCACACTAATTATGTAAATTAAAGTGAAGTCACTGTTGTAATGTAGAAAACATGGCATATTCTCAAACAGATCATTTGCTTTAGTGATGTCAGACTGGAGGATAGAACTTTAGGCCTGGAGTAGTGAAATAATACCACAGATTTGTTTTTACATCCAACTGGCAGGGAAGGCAGAGTTTTTGCTTATTCTCTCACTTGGAAGTAAGGACCTCTGTTGCTGTCAGTACAGTCAGCCCTTCATTGGTGTATCAGCCTAATGGACAATGTCAGCAGTTACATGACACGAGGTCACCTCGTCACTTCACCTGACAAAGGAGCAGCGCTCAGAAAACTTGCAATTTCAAATAAATCTGTTGGACTTTAACCTGGTATTACCTAACTTCTTACTTTTCCACCCCAGTCCAACACCGGCACTTTCACATCAGCCTAATGGGGGACATTGGATCAATATTCCCACTATGCATCTCTCAGCAGTTCCCTGGCACCTCTGGGGACGCATATGATCCAACCAGTGGACAAATGTCCAAGAACAAAAATGAAAGGACTCTGAGAAAGTCTACTTGTAGAATCTCAGTGACCCCAGATTCACCAATAAGTAATCTCACCGGTTTTAAGGCAATAGAGAAAATTCCCTGAGACTTGCAAGGTAAGGTTCACGTTCAGGGCCTATCAGCTGTGGTCAAGTCTTTGGAGTGAAACTTAGACCTTCTGACTGAGGTTGGACATATTGCTGGAAAAATCATCACACTTCCTCCTGCCCTTCAAGTCAAACAGCCTTTCCGCACCAATGAGATAACACTGTGTGAAGCTGGAGGAACATAGCAGGTCAGGTACCATCAGAGGAGCAGGAAAGCTGACGTTTCCGGTCGGGACCCTTCCTCAGAAATCACTAAATGTCCTTTTCCAATACAATAAAAAGGAACGAAAAGGCACACTTTTTAAAAAAACAACAAAACAAAAATCCTCTCATGATTTTTATCCTGGGTTGTTAATAACTGTGTCCAAAATATTAATATTTAACTGTTGCAGACCCTAGGGGAATCCTGGACAGCTGACAGTTCTAATGCTACCGCTCAGTTACATATTCGTGAAGTAATTCCTTATTTAAAAGAGAAGTTGGCGCCAGATCTTAAGTTTTAGCACTAAAACTGTAGCCTGTTCCCACTGCAATTATGAACGCAAGAAACTTATTCCACCAACAGAGACGGCGTTTGCTGTTCCACGTTCACGCTGGAGAGAATAACCAACATTTGTGAATATCAATTAATTCTGGGTTTTACTTGCTTTTCTGGGGGGCAAGGAAAACCCATTCACCAGCATACAAGTGTGTTTCTGGCCAGTCGAGAAATATTTCAGTCCAAACCCATTCCCCTGAAATTCTGCACCCGTTCTACCTCGGCTTTCTTTTCTCCCTTGTCACAGTTGCAAGGAGCCACTCTGTGAAGCCATTTCTCAAAAACGAATCAAAATAAACAATGTTCAGCAAATGCTGCAGCCTAGATTGCACTAACCTTTGGCTTTGCGGGGAAAACATAGGCGCTCACATCACACGTTCTCCGATCCAGGAACAAGCAAAAACCAACATTACCTGCCCTCGGGTAAATGTGGACTTGACCAGTCCCCCCCCCGGCCGCTTGGCTGCAGGTTGCAGTGCCAACCCCTGCTGTTCTCACCTGCCCGGCTCCAGCACCCCTGCCACGGTGAGTGACGGCTGCCAATGCGCTGTCCTTCCAGCCGCCGCCCGTCGCTTATCTCCTCTCCATTCTCCATACTCTGTCGCCCTCTACCCGTCAAAAACACTCCTAACCACAAACCCTGGAGCGAGGAGGGCCAGAAACGTAGGATATTTCACACAATTTGTTGCTGACCTTTAGACCGAGAACAGTCGATACACTTAAAGGATTTGGATACATGCTTGAAATTACAAATAGCAAAGGAGTCAGATGAGTTTGAGATCTCTTTCGAAAGAACAAAATCGCCTCCCTGTGATGTCTGATTCTAAATTGCGAAGTGCAACACAGAGGATGAAATCATAAATAACACAGGTATGCTTTGAATAAAGTGAAACATAAAATGAAAGAGACCTCAGTAGTCTGGATGTGCAACCTGCCCCAATGAGTAATACAGAGAAACTATCAACACAGGTACTTGGGGGGGTTAAGTGGCGTTTAGCGTGCTTGCCTCATGACTGATGTCTCTGAATATGAGTTGGCGCGTTAGGTTGGGGTTGTGCAGGACGTTCTGGTTGTCCTGTTATAGGAGGGATATTATTAAGCTGGAGGGGGTTCAGAAAAGATTTACCAGGATATTGCTGGGAAAGCGGGGTTTGAGTTATTAGAATAGGCTGGGACCTCTTTCACTGGAGCTTGGGAGGTTGATGGGTTTATGAAGTCATGAGGGGTATAGATAAGGTGAATGCTGGTGTCTTTTCCCTAGGCTGGAGGATTTCAACACTAAGGAGCATATTTTTGAAGAAGGAAGAGAAAGATTTAAAAAAAGACATGAGGGGCAACTTTTTTTACACAGGGAGTGGTTCCTGTGTGGAATGAATTTCCAAAGGAAGTGGTGGATACAGGTACAGTTATAATATTTAAAAGACATTTGGGTAAGTGCATGAATAAGCAATATTTGGGGGTATATGGGCCAAGCACAGGCAGGTGGAACTAGTTTAGTTTGGAATTAAAGTTGGCATGGATTGGTTGGAGCGAAAGATCTGTTTCTGTGCTGTATCACTCTATAACTTGTCCAGCATAGCATAGACTGCACAGCCAAAATGATTAATAAAAGGCAGAGGAAGGCAGGATGAAATGATACTGAAGTCAGATTAACCTTGACTGCTGCATTCGAGTTTGTTTTGAAAGCATGGCAAAAATACCCACAGAGCAGATTCACAACAAAATAGCCTACAAAACAGCATAGAAGGAGGCCATTTGGCCCATCCAGCTTCAGCAAGGATAATTTAGCTAGTCCCAATGCCTCATACCTTTTGACCCCTGCAGATGTTCTCAGGTGGTTATTCAATTCCCTTTCGAAAGTCTCAATTGGATCTACCTCCACCATCTTTTTAAGGCATTTCTAAATCATAACCACTCTCCATAGAGTTTCACAGCATGGAAAAACATTTTGGCCTGTTGTGTCCATGCTAACCATCAAGCATTTATCCATTATAAAGAAGTTGGCAGCACTTCTGCCAGTGGCGAGTGATAGCAAGGAATGAGAGGGGTGCCATACAAATGTGGTGCATAGATAATGAGGTGACTTAAGAGCTTATTTTTTAAGCACTTACCTCACCTACCCACTCACATACAACAGTTTGTGCATTTCCTGTAAATTGTACAGAAGGGTCTAGGCCCGAAACGTCAGCCTTCCTGCTCCTCTGATGCTGCTTGGCCTGCTGTGTTCCTCCAGCTCTACACCTTGTTATCTCACACTTTAGTTTCTATTCATTTGTGGGATGTGGGAGTCGCTGGCTGACCAACATTTCTTGCCCATCCCTAGTTGCCCTTGAGAAGGTGGTGGTGAGCTGCCTTCTTGAACCACCGCAGTTCTCCTGCTGTGGGTTGACCCACAATGCTATGAGGAAGGGAATTCCAGGAGTTTGACCCAGCAACAGTGAAGGAACAGCAGTATGTGTGCAAGTCAGGATGGTGAGTGGCTTGGAAGTGGTGGTGTTCCCATATGTCTGATGCTCTTGTCCTTCTAGATGGAAGTGGTCATGGGTTTGGAAGGTGCTGTCTGAGGATCTTTAAATTTCTGCAGTGCATCTTGTAGATAGTACACACTGCTGCTACTGAGCGTCGGTGGTGGAGGGAGTGGATCCTTGTCGATGTAGGGCCAATCAAGTGGGCTGCTTTGTCTTAGATAGTATCAAGCTTCTTGAGTGTTGTTGGGGCTGCACTCATCCAGGCAAGTGGGGAGTATTCCATAACGCTCCTGACTTGTGCCTTGTAGATGTTGGACAGGCTCAGAGGAGTCAGGAGATGAGTTACTCGCCGCAGTATTCCTAGCTTCTGGGCTGCTCTTGTAGCCACTGTGTTAATGTTGTAAGTCCAGTTGAGTTTCTGGTCAATGGTAACCCCCAGGATGTTGATAGTGGGGGATTCAGTGATGGTAACACCATTGAATGTCAAGGGATGGTGGTTAGATTGTCTCTTATTGGTGATGGTCATTGCCTGGCATTTGCATGACATGAATGTCACTTGCAACTTGTCAGACCAAGCCTGGATATTGTCCAGATCTTGTTGTATGTGAACATGGACTGCTTCAGTATCTGAGGAGTCAGGAATGGTGCTGAACATTGTGCAATCATTGGCGAACATCCCCACTTCTGACCTTATGATAGAAGGAAGGCCATTGATGAAGCAGTTGAAGATGTTTGGGCCAAGAACACTACCCTGAGGAACTCCAGCAGAGATGTCCTGGAGCTGAGATGATTGACCACCAACAACCATGACCATCTTCCTACGTGTCAGGTATGAGTCCAACCACTGGAGAGTTTGCCCCCTGATACCCATTTACGTTGCTTCTCTGCATTTTTCCTACCAAACTGAAGTTCTCGCTATTACATTTCATCTGCCACATATCTGCCCATTCCACCAGTCTGACTATGAGCAACATTTCTTCCAAGGTCCATGCAATGCTAGTGGCTTTCAGAAGCAGAAGCTAATGCATGGCACTGCATCTGGAGTTCATGGAACCTCCCAGCAGCCGCACAGCTCACAGGGAATGTTACTTTTGAAATATCGCTATCCTCTCCACAGTTCACTATATTTCCAAGTTTTGTGCCATCTGAAAATGTTGAAACAGTGTTCTGCACATCCAAGTCTCAGTCACTAATACAAATCAAGGAAAGCAGTGGTGCCAGTAGCAACCCCAGGGGAACACCAGCGTATACCTTCTTCCAGTGTGAAAAACAGTTGTTCACGCAACTCTCAGTTTGCTGTCTCTCAATCATATTTGTATCGGTGTTGTCACTGCTCCTTTTACTCCACTGGCTTCAACTTTGCTATTATGCAGCAATTCTGGAAATGGCTTTTGGAAGTCCATACAGACTGCATCAACAGCTTTACCTTTACCAATGTTTTATGTAACTTCATAAAACAAAAGTTCATCAAACACAAAGACAACAAGGTGCAGAGCTGGATGAACACAGCAGGCCAAGCAGCATCATAGGAGCAAAAAGGCTGA